AACTGGGGGGAGGAAACAGGAGCTCACCCCGTTTAACGCGAAGGCTGGACTCGAACCGCCGAAGCGTCAGCCATTTCTGGCCAGCAACTTTCGGTGTCATTAAGCCGCTGCGCCACCGCGTCCCCCATGTCCTTCCAGGGTAGCTAGTTCTCCCTAAATCCAGGAGGAGGTCCAGCTGCAGGAATGGGGAGGCCCTGGTGGTACGCTGTCTTCAGGTCCTGATTGCAACCTTTCCTGCTAGATCTGGAGCATCATAAAGGGGAAGGGACAGGTACCCATTGGCTCCAACTCACCAACGCCAGAGGGAGCGAAGGGGCCCAGCAGGACTGCCATGTGCAATGGGAACAAGGTCTGGTGGCCCCAGAACTCCTCAGGGAGCCACGCTAAATGCTCGAACTGTCCAAGGTGGGTGGTCCCTACAGCTGCGCTTTGAGGCACCCTTATCCACATGGACGTGTGAACCAGGTCTTTTGGGGGCTCTGTTCACATACAGCAAAAAACATGTCCTGGACTCAAACCCCATTTCTGTGTAAGGGGGGGCCCTGGAGGGCAGAGATGGTGCGATGCATCCCTCAAGCGGGCCACCCCAGAGGGGTGAGGAGTCTCCTTCTGCACAGGTGCCCAGGCCTCCCTGCAGAATGGGTGCCTGGGCTCCCTGCCACTCACTCCTCCTCCTGGCTGCCGTTGTTGTTGCCAAGCAACACAGCGCTTGCTTTTCCCCTGGGCAGGGGAGAGCACCGTCAAGCGGGGGAGCTGCACTGGCCGCAAGGGCACAGACCAAGGTGTGCCGAGGGGCAGGCTCTCCTCCTCTTGCTGTCTGACTGCCCGGTGGTCTCCAGACACCACTCCATCATGAGCACTCAGGAAAACCTCCCCTCAGCCCTGGCTTCAGCCAGAAGACCTCTCTGCCGTTGACCCAGATGTGGGCAGCTGCAGAGGCAGGCCGGAGGGAGGGAGGGTTCTTTACAGATCCACAGTCTCCTGCTTCTTCTCAAGTCCCAGTCCCACTGTACTTAAGCCCCAAGTGTGCATGGGCTCAACCCTCTTCCTCAGATCAACTTGCCAGGAGATGAGCTAGAAGCTGTTCTGAGAGACTGGTCAAGGTGTCAAGTGCTTGTCCAGGTGGTCACCTGCCACCATAACTGGCTCGAGGGCATTAATAACTAGGTTTAGTCTGCACCACTACTGATGGCAGGCTTGTCAGGGGACAGAGGGAGGGGAGAACAGGGTGGACAAGAGACGGAACCCATGCGTGCTCCCCTAGAGGCCCTTCTGGGGCCTTGGGAAAACCTGTTCTGCTTCCAAAGGAAATCCCCCTCCCCAAAAGAGAAAAGATTAAGCAGTGGACAAATTGTTCAAAGCAACAGCCCAGAAAATGAAATGGCGCAAAACCACCTGCGCTCGTTATGATTCCTGTATCCAAAACTCAGAAGAAAAGCAGTCTGTCGTCCACGAAGACAGGACAGGTGGAATCCCAAGTGAGAATCACAAGGGAACAATTGGCGGGATTGTGGGTGGGAAGACAAGATACATTAATGTCTTTTTCGAAACGTGACTGCAAGATGACGTGTCTCGTTTCCAAGAGCCCCGGTGACAAAAGCAAACAACTCCACAATTCCTCATTAGATCTTTATCAAATTTAACTGTTTGTAGGCTATAGAGAAAAGAGCGACTGCTGTTCTGATACATCTCTTCCCTTTTGCAATTTCACTGCACGGGAAGAGGCTAGATGTGCCAGGATGAAATACCAGCCTATGGGAAATGGGGGCCTTGGACCAGAGACAAAGGAGGAGAATTTGCAGCCAGCCCTTTCCCCAGCAATGAGCGAAACCCAGCTCTCTAAGGACCAGTAGCCACCCTGTGCTTTAGGGAAGCAGGACTCCGCCTGGTAGATAAAAGGGAGAGACGGGGGGTGAGCAGCCGCTTCGGAGGCACGGCAAACACCAGCGCTTCACAATCCAGCAGCTACCCGGGTTAGGGTCTGTGGGATGGTCAGGAGGCGGCCCCACCAGTGGGTGTTCTGCTAAGGACGCCGATGGGAGGAGGAGCGGAGAAAAAGTTGGGGTGGTGGTGGCGGCGGCAGCTGCTTCCATGCAGGCCTGTGCAGGATGCCATGAAAGGCCGGGAAGCAGCCCCAGAACTTCCATTTCATCTGCCAAACTATCCTGGGTGTGCATGTGTAAAAAGAACATTTCCTACCATTCTCTTCATCTGCTGCCACAAAAAAGTGAAAAGGTAACTGCAATCCTAGGTCACGTCAACAGGAGTCTAGCACCAAGACCAAGAGACGTCTCCTCCCTCCCTCCCTCCCCCCTCCCTCTTGGACTACCACGTCCAGTTCAGGTAACTACATTTCAGGAAGGACGCTGACAGATCAGAGGGCGCAGCCAAAATAAGGAGGAGCCCAGCAGGAATACCTTCAGGGGAATGGCTGGAGGTGCTGAGGAGGTTTTTTAATGTTTCTTTATTTAACTGATGATATTTCTAGGCTGCCCCAGTCCCAAAGGATTCTGTGCCTTATACAATAAGAATTTTAAATCAATATGATAATAATCCAAAACAACAACTGTATCGGGGCACCCCAATCAGCATTTTAGGCTGAAAGCATGTTGAACAAGGGCGGCGGTGGCAGCTGCCAGAGCCTCCAGGAGAGAATTCCACAAAGCAGGGACTGCTCCCGAGAAGGCCCGCTGCCTTACCCAAACCCTGTGAACCTGGGGAGTCTCCTCAGCAGGTGGGAAGCCGGCGCTGTCTTCGTTGGCGGCCTGTCTGAATAGAAGCCCAGCAATTGCCTGCCACCCAAGGATGCCAGTTTCCTGGACTGACGGGGAAGAGGGGCTGGCGGCTTCTTTGCAAGACCAGTCATGTAGCAGAAGCGGACTGTGGATGAAGCATAAGCTTCACTCAGTCCTCCGCTTTTGCAAAGGGCTGCATAACCCGCCTATTGCGCTGCAAAAGCTGTTTTGTCTGTTCAAATTCCTCCCCCTTTGAGAAACATCCCTCGAGGTGTTCCCCACAGGATCTGATAACCTCTCAACCTGCTCCTCTGCAGAGCCCATTCTTCCTTGTTTACAATGCTGGGGGGACTGACAGAAGAAGGGGAACAGCCCTGCCCCATCTGCCTGTTCCAACAGAAGCCGGGGTCACGTAGCATCCACAAGGAGCCACCTTCCTCCCAACCCCCCTCCTTCTTGAGGATAGCACGCCAGGCAAGGAAAGGAGACCAGAGAGCGGACCCTCTTGGGAGAAGCTGCTGGGAGTGCCCCCTTTCCATGAAGCACGAATAGCGAACTGCGAACTATTCAGCTAAAGGCACCAACTTGGAATTTCGCAAGCACGGGACGCTGGATGGCGTCGGGAACAAGCATGGGATGCCACACGCCGGACAGGAACAAGCGTGATCCGGCCTTGATCTCTTGCCATAGCTGACCTGAAACTCTGCCACTGCATCTCGCGCATGCGCGCACACACCCAGCTGCAGGAGCTTTCAGGCAGGGGGTGGGCTTCAGTGCTGTTGGTCCAGTCCAAAGAGTGCAGAGATGCTCCCAAGGGAAGGGGCCGTCGCCCTCTCCATCTGCTGAAAGAGCTGCTGCTCTCTGGCCCAGACAAAGGGCCAACAGCCACCAGCCACCCATTTCCACCTTAACCAGTTTTCCCCAGAAATAAAGAAGACAGAGGCAAGTGGAAAGGAGCCATATCTGGACTCCCTGGCCCCCTCAATGTTTAAATGCTGTATTTGAGGCAGAGTAATTACACAATAAAAGCCTCATCTGGAAGAGCCCCAGTCCTCCTCTCGGGAACACACAGAGCCGTCTTTGTTCAAGAGGCAATGCTAGGAAATAGCAGCAGCAACCTGGCGGATTCACAGCCAGGCCTGAGCCCGCTGCCATCCCAGCTGGCAGGAGAGACTGTGCTGGGTGTTCGAGTTCCTGCCGAGCAAAAGGCACAAGGAACAAGCAAGCTTTGAGCACTGGGAGCACATCCCTTTGCTTCTGACTCGCTGTAAATCACCCAGCCTACAAGTGAAATGAAATGAAGGGGTTTGTGCAGGCTTCTTCCTTGAGCCCCAGACCTGCTGACTAAGCTATTCTGGACAGATGGCTGCCAAGCACGAAGCATGTGAGGGAGGGGATGCCCAGCAAAGACCCTTGGCAGCCCCCTTTGTGCTGACCGGGCCCTTAGGGAGACATGGTTCCAGCCCGCCTTCAGCTGTCCCTGGAAAGGCTTTGCCACACTGGCAGGTTCATCCTAGTGGGGGCAATGTGAACAGGGCAAGGGTTTCATCTTCTGCAACACCCTGGCCAGGGCTGGCAGACAACGTTCTCCTGCAGGCAAAGGGAGCCCTCGGGGAGGGAGGGGAAGAACTTCAAGGACGGCCACCTGAGCAAAGCTCTCCCCCCCACCCCGCAATTCACAGCTCTTGGCTTGGCCTGCTTTGCTGACCAAAAGAGCTGTGCTCTTTCAGACCCAGAGGTCAACAGGCCTTCTGTTCATGGTCCCCAGGAAGGGGAACCTTCCTCCTGGGATTTATCTCTCACACGCACCCCCAGCAGAGAGATCCCTTTCTCCTGAAGCCCACGCAGAAATTTTAGGAGGGACAACTAACAGCTACAACCCAGCATCAAATGCCCTTTACTGTACAATTATCCAGATGAAACATTTTAACAGGAGGCAAAGCTTCTATTTCTGCAGGAAGAACCCCACTTTCCCCCATCTCCCTCCAACTGCTCCAAGGGGGAACACAAGCCCCCCTCCAATCAGGCTCCTGGCAAAACCTTGGCAGAAATTCCAGGACCCTCCCTCCACAGCGGCATGCAAGGTGGAGACAAAGGCCACCATGCCCTGCAGTTCTGCACCGGGGCACATGGAACTGAAGGGAGGGGTGCTAGGCAGGCCCTCATCCAGAGTCAGCCCAGGAGGAAGTGCCTAGTTCAGGCCACACAGGTCACATCACTGCAATTCTCGTTCTCAAAGGAGAAAAACTTTGCTCTTTGCGGCTCCCGAAGGTAGCGTCTTCAGCAAGGCAATCCTGGGAGTGCTTACTCAGGAGTAAGTCCCACTGAGCACAATCAGTCCACACATTTAGGACTGCAAGTAACCAGCCACAGCAGAGAGAACTTCAAACCCCTTAAAAATTATATTCTGCCATGCTGGTGACCAAAAATGGGAAGGCAGTACTTGCAAGGAGAGAAGGGGGGGGGGGCTCTGCAAGACCTTTCTGATGGCAGAAGAGCTGGGAGGCAAGATTGCCTCCCCCGCCCTGGCATCCTTGAGACACTGGCTGCAATCTCCCCCTTGGCTGTGGTGAGGGCTCACCTTCCGAAACTCTTCCCTACCTGGCCTGGTTGTAAAAAAGCCTTTTGAGCAGCAGGCAACAGACCACCAGCAGCACAGCCATCGGACAGGGGCCGCTGTCAGGAGCAAGGCAGTGTTACCCTCCCTCGTGGGCACGTGGAGCAGTGCTAAGCACCCTCCAGACCAGGCCCTTCCTGGTCCGCACTGGGGTTCCCCAATGCGATCTGAGTGGCCGAGAGGAGCGACCAGCAGGCGCGGAGAGCTGGCTGAATCACAGGAAGGGAAAGGACCCATCATCTTTCCCAGGACAGCCACCTTGAGGCTTGCTCTCCCCAAAAGGCACCATGCAGGAGGTTGGCATGGATGGGAAGAGGAGCACTGTGCAAAGGAAACGGTTGAACCAGTTTGCACAATGTGACGGAGCCCCACAGCCATTGTGAAGAGGTATCCAAACGCTGAGTGACCACTGAGCCAGCATCCTTTGGGCAAGGTAAGAAAATATGAGAGATTGGCTGCCAAGAGAGACCCCGAACAATGTTTACAGGCTCGATGTAAACTAGCGTGGTCCACTTTCTTCCAGGTAGCCTCTGCCTGCTCTCTCCCCAGAACGCCTGCCAAAGTCCAGTTGTCAGCCCGATTCCTTGGGATGCCCTATTTAAGACCGTCTCCTTTCTGTATGGATGCTTGTGAGCTGGCCGGGCACAGCCTGCATTGGCACCATCGGACCACCAGCTCAGCGTTCCTGCAGCCTGAATGAAGCCCCGTGAATCCTGTCGGTGTCTACAGCTTTTACCCACCAAAGATCTGCCTGAAAGAGCGATAAAGCCAGCAGCTCTTGAGATGAGCAGAACAGAAAGCCAGAGAGGTTTGCATTCTCCATCTTTTCTTCATGTGGGTGAGTGACAAATGGCAAGTTCTGCAAAGCATTTCTACAGTATTTGGTCCAAGCTGATTGTTTTAACTCCTTTCAGCCATCTTGTTTTCGATTTCACAGAAAAGCAAAACAGCAGTGTTGTTAAAACATCAGTAAAACACATATTCTTACTCGCATGAAAGATTTTCTGCAATTCAAGGGCCTGTTGGATTAAAAATGTATTCTCCCATTGGCTCTTGCGCAGAGTGCGGGCTGGGGAAGTGGTCTCCTGTGTTGGGATCAGTCCGCAGGGGTGTTCTTCCAGGAGGAGGAGGGCAGTTGGCACAGCTATTCGAGACAGCAGCGAAGCGGAATGCCAGGATCCTCCCCTGGGTTCGGCTCCATCCCTGAGTCCAGGGTCCAGAGGCTCTCTTGGGAGGCAAACCAAGGCGTTTGCCAAGCCTCAGAAGTTGCCTGCAGTGCTGGAGGAGCTGCCCTTGAACCGCAGTGGGAAGCAGGTCAGTTTTTGGAATGCTACAAAACAATTTTGTGCAGGACACAAAGAAGCTACGGAAGAGGTAGGATTTTACTGGATTAAGACCCCCCTCTTCTTCTGGATTCTTATTCTCGTGCAAGGCTCTCCCCACAAGCATTAGCAACACTTGACTATTTAAACTCTGTCCATTCGGGCTCATCTTCCTGGGGCCAATAAGTCTTCCTGCAGACTTCTCCTCTCATAACCCCAACGTACAGCCTTTACCCTTAGTGATGGGGTGCTGGAGGACACACTCTGAATGAGTGCCACCGTGCTTCTGTGGGCTGCATCCACGGTCCTCAACCTTATATAGCACCCACTTCCCCATAAATCTGGCTCGAAGAACATGCAAAGCTTCCATGCCTCCCAGAGCCTTCTCCCTCAACGAGTGCTTCTACTATTTCTAGCATTTCTCACGGCTCCAGCACAGCAGCTGTGGGCTGGGAAGCCGACTGGCCAACACTGGCAACGTTGCAGTTCTGTTTCAATCTGGACATGTTAAAATGGGTTTTAAATGAGTTGGCAGCAGAGAGGCATTCTGTTTGCTCCAATCAGGCCTAAAATCTATCCAAAGCATTTCACACATTCCCTGTCAGAAATCTGAAGATGCAGCCTAGGCCTACGTGCCCAGTCCACTCAGTGCAGAAGGTATGAATAATGTAGCTTGGCCCAGTCCAGCTTCAGTGGCTTGGCATGAGGGGGGTTAATGCTCTGTGGGAGGAGCCATCTTGGCCATCTCCATTTCAGGCAAGAACGGGGTCCATGTGCCTTCAGCTCTTGTGGGTTTTCCACAACGCTCTCTACCTGCAGTTCAGAGATGGGTTTTGTACCCAAAAGCACTGGTGATGCCTCTTTCTAGTGCAGACCCAGAGGCAGCGACAAATCTATAAAAACCCATGCCAAAGCTCAAATTTCCCTTCCAAAGAACATCCCGAATTCCTGGGGCTGAGAGGGGCAGGATGAAAGCTGCGCCATCTTCCCTCAGCCCACAGTCCGTTATGTGTCTGGCTTTTCTTCATGCAAGACTCCCAGAAGATTGCAGGACAGGACCCCCAATCTTAGGGAGAGGGGTGCACGCACACACGGACACCATGCAGACATTCAGTAGAACTAGGGAGGGCTCCCCTTTCAACTGCAAAGTTTTACGCAGTGGAGAGGCAGTAGGCAGGTAGGAAATCCGGTGGAAGAGAGAGGAACACCCGTCTCTGACCGTAACGACGAGGGTGTGGAGTCCTGCAAGGTTCCTGTGGCAGCCAAGGTTATAAAGCAGATTCGTGATGGGATGAAGGGCGTTAATTCTGTCTGCCTGAATCCAGCTCCACCACCGGGGGAGAGGGAGAAAAAGACCCCCCATCTACTGCTCTCCAGGCTCTCACCTCCCCCTTCCCTGCTTCTATCCACATAGTCAGTGTGCGTCTGATCCAAGAAGCTGTCACTTCTTCACTCGGCATCCACGTGCTAGCCACGGAAACGGTACTCCAGTTCCATTTCACTGCCAAAGAACGTGAGATGAATGCGTGATTTCTCTGGCGCCTCTGGGACAGCAGCTCCACCTGGCCCGGGCCCCCCGAGGACCTTCTTCGCCCCAGCAGAGCCCAAGAGGGCAAAGCCACAGCCTGGCTCCCTTTGGGGAGCTGGGAAAGGGGCAGAGCAGACCAAGCAAGGGGAGGGGGTCGCAGAGCAAGCGGCCTCCTCCTTCAGAGAAAGGCCCCTGGCAGCCCCTCCTCGTGAGCTCTGATCCTCCCTGGGAGGACGCAGGGTGCTTCTCTGAAGGCCAGGGTGAGCTGACCGGCAGGCCCTCCTCCCTGGGCGAAGCTCCTTCCTCCTCAGAGTGCAGGTGAACAGGCACCACCTGAACCGCATGGTGTGGCCATGGAAGGCGCCTTCAGCTCAGTTGGAGCTGAAATGTTCTGCAGGGGTTCAGAGGGCAAGAGCCTTCGGCTTACATGCAGTCCTTAACCACAAATCCTCCCCTTTCCCGGGGCCAGAAACATTTCCACCCAAAGATTATTTTTCTGGATGCAAAGCCTGATCATTCTGGGCTCCAAACTGAAAGGGCAGAAAGCCACAAAGTGAGATGGGCTTTGTCCCCTTCTGGTTGGAAGGAAGACAATACTGTGAACAATGGCTTTCATATGGTGGCACCCCAGGTGTGGAATTGTCTCCCTGGGGAGGCAGGCTCTCCTGGCACTGCATCTGGCATCCTTCTGACACTCAGCAGAGACTTTCAAGTCTTCTGGGTATTTAGATCTGATGCTTTTTATTGTTTGTGCTGAGGACATTGCCAGTGTGACTTTTAAAAAAATTATACCGTCTCCTCCTTTCCTCCAAGGAGCTTATGGCAGACTACCTCGTGATCCCAATGGCACCCCAAGAGGCTGGGCAGAGCGGTTCCTGTGCTCAGGAGCAACTGCAAGCAAGCAGAGCCAAAGAAATCCATCATCAGTAGAATTCTCAGGGACTGGACAACTTTCCCTGAGGACTCTTTGATTACAAGCTTTGACACTTTTTTTCAAATACATAAATATTAATGCAATCTCTATTTATACAAGCTGGATCCTGGCCAACAGCTTTCAAAGGAAAATCTGCAGACCACAACTAGTGTCCAGAAACAGCAGAGCCTAAGAATAAGGCCTCCAAAGCTGCATTTCCTGTTTTGGCAATGGTAGTTTCCCATCATTCAGAACTTTGTGGAAATGATTTCAAACTTGGACACATTAAGTGTTCTGGAGGAAAACGGGGGGGGGGGGGCCTCGACCAAAGGGGATGCTTCCATTGCAGACTAGCTGTTCTCCAGGCAGATCCCAATTTCCAGAGATTTTTCACTGGAAATCCTGACACAACGTGCCCCTGGCCGTTACACTTTGGCACCACAAGCAAAACCTCCTGGACCAAATTTGGCCCTTTGGAAGGAGGAGACTTGGGTGGCTCATTCATCCCGAACAACCTCCCCTTGGAAATCTCGCCTGAAGTGTGGGATTCTGCAAATATTCAGACAAGGCCACCCTCCCCATTCCAGGCATGAAATGCAACGGCCATTGGGGTGGAACCCTTCTCTCTAAGGCCCAGAAAACGGCCCCTCCCACTAGTACGTTTCCCAATCCCCTTGCCCTCTGCTCCCCAGAACAAAGGGCACTAGACTCCCAGAGCTGGAAGGGAATGTCAGGCCACCCAGTCCGACCTCGGCCCCATGCAGGCAGGCGTCCCAGAAGGGTGTCCACACACCTCCAGCAGTGGCCTGCACTACCAAGAGGGGACCATCCCGGCATCTTTCAGCTCCTTCAAGGCTGCCATTCTGCTTAATTCACTGCCAGGCAAAGGCTGCATGGCTCTTCCCACTGTCCTTCCAGGCACTCTCCCTCCAGCTGGACTGGTCCTTAAAACACACCAGCCTGAGCGCACCAAATGCCTCACGGGCTTCCAACTCGATTCTAGGAGTTGCTGGTCCGGCTGGTCCTGAAGAACGCTGGTGCACTGCTAGGACAGGGGGAGGGCAAACCTTGCTTAGAAGAGCTGTGCTTGCAGTTTGGCACCAGAAAGTATGATGTGCCTATGGAGTTGAAGGAGCGGATAAAGGTGCTCTTTATCTTCTTCTGACCTACAGTTTTCAACTCTAGTTTGAAGTGAACTAGGCTTTTGAGATTCAGCTCAGGACAGAGCTAACCTGCATTGCTGTCAAGTCGAGGAGGGGGAGGAAGTCAATGTTCAGGCAGGAGAGAACCGAGAGTCAGAGCAATGGAGGGTGCACAACTATGGCCCTTCCCATTGCACAGCCAAGGGGGAAAAAAGGCTGGGAAATGTTAGACCTGCCCCAGGATGAAACAGAAAGACTAGGCAAGCTGAAGCTGCGTCGTCTGTTCTGGAACAGCCCCCTTTCTAACGTGGCCCCACACCAAAGCTCCTTCCTCCTTGTCCTTGTTTCCATAAGCCTCCTGCACTGCTCCCTTTACCCCGTGCCAGGAGCTGCCCCCTGCGCAGTTTGCAAAACTGCAAGTGCAAGTGCAGGAAAAGGCTCCGACTGCCTCCCTGGGCTGGCCGAGGAGGAGGTGTGGAGACGTCTCTCAAGGTTGGGAGGGGCAAGGTGCTCACCCGCTGTGGCAAAACAACGGCCCACCCAGCACCCTGCAGCGCAGTCGCAAACATCACATCCCAGATGAGCTTTGCAAGGAGCCTCTGGATAAATGAACACAACTGCTGCTCCAGCGCAGCCAAGAAGCCCCATTAAAAAATGACTGAAAAGCTGAAATGCTTCTTCATGAAAATTAAAGACAGATTGCAAAGAATTCCCTGCTCATCAAATTAAAAACAAGAACCCTCTTGATAAAAATGCTTCGGCGGTCGAGCCCTATTCTTTCCTCCTGCACATTTACGCAAGGAACGAGGGGAAGGTTCGGCCGGTGAGAAAAGGGCCCCAAAGCACGGCCTTTCTCTGTGCCAGCTCCTCTAGCAGCCAGCAGCGCGTGGCAACCGGGACCAGGGGTCCCTGCCCTCGGCTCACCTCGAGGACCGATAACAGGTCAGCAACTGCCTGTGGCTGTATGTTGCGCTGACCGCAGCTCTTGGAGACCACTGTTGCAAGTCCACAGAGTCAGTACAGTGGGAGCATCCAGAAACCCATACGGAGCTTAAAAGAGATCTCACTGTGGTGGTAGGGGGAGGTGCAGCCCCCTGTTGAAAACCTGGCCAACTCAAAACGGCTCCATCGGCCGACTGCCCTATTTGGCCACGCTGCCACTTGCCCCGGCCCTCCCAGGCCCAGGTAGCTGGATCGCCAGGATGGCCAGCCAGGGGATGCCAGACGGCCGTCAATCACAGGGCAGATTTTCTGAAAGGACTTGGCCCATGTGGTGATACTGGAGAGAAAATGCACATGGACGGAAAACTCAAAGCATTGAATCTGCTACTTGCACCAAACAGCCACTTCATTGGTGGGAGAATAAGAGTTACAATCACAACCAAATGAAATGGCCAATTTGGTTTTTTCTGAGGAAAGAAACCTTACATTCTGCAAAAGCCATGTGGAAAAATGCAGTAGCCCGTAACTAGCACTCAGCCCAAGCAGCAGGTGATCTGAAGGATATAGAGAAGTGGGTAGCTTTTTCTACCAAAACTGGGGGTGGGGGGGTTGAGGAATTTACAAAAAAACCTTGAAATTTTGCTCCAACACAGACTATACAGTAACTGGTTCAGGAAAATGGAGGAAATTTACACAACAAAGAATGAATCTATCACAGAGCTGCCATTTGTGAATACCTTTCCCTAATTAAAGAGCCTATACAGTAAATTCCAAAATAAATACATTTCATCACTTAAGCACATCAAATGTGTGAAATCAGAACAATGTATGCAGAGCAAAGAGGAAACTGGAAGTGTCGGTCCTACCCACCCCTTTGGTCAGTTGCTGTCCATGAGTTCAACTTCCAGCTTGTTTTCGAATCATGAGCAGAGGGCCACAGGCTGCAGCCCCAAGTGTCCCTGGGAGCTCTCCTCCCGACACCCTGGGCACTCACTGGCATTTCCAGGACTGCTGCCGCCAGGGCACCAGATAGCCACGAAGAGAGAACTGGCTGATATCTAAAGCAAGGTGAACTACTCTGCTCACTGGCAGCGTTGCGCACCAGCCTTCTGCATGCAAGCAACGAGTTAGCAACGATCTCCTCCCTGAAGGCTGGCACCTGCTCAATGCCAAAATAGATGCGGAGCACCTCTTTTAGAAAGCTGCTGCCATTCCCCACCCACCCCCACAAGCCAGAAAGGGGAGAAGTGAAGGAGGGAGAGGGCGTGTCTTCCCACAGAAGTCAGGGCAGAAAGAGTGGCTTTTTTGATTCACAGAGAAATACCAGGACATCTTTTGTGCTTCAGCCTGCCCCTCGGCCCCTCTTTCCTAGCATCGTGCTCAGTGAAATCTGCCTTGGAAATCAAAAAGCCCCCCTAACCTTTAGCAACCCCAAGACCACATGCTTCCATCTTTACCAATCAGCGGGATTTTGTACCTGTGGCACTTGGGCAGGGATGGCTTTGCCAGGAAGAGGCCTGAGGAAGCACACCCATATAGGACGGACAGCAGCCCCCTACCCAGCCCCTTGTGCACAGGACAATCTGAGGCTGGGCCAGGGTTGCAAGCGGCCTCCAGAGGGGGACCAGAGGAATAGGCAGCCAAGCGCTGGGCCCCCCCGGCTGCCCGGCCCTTCCATTTGTACGCTGAGACCGAGTCTGAGACCCAGGCCGCCCTGGGATGGGTTTGCCCTAGGAGCCTCGTCCGCCTTAGGGTTAGGGTTAGGGTTAGGGTTCCCACCAGTCTGGGTGGGAAAACTGCCCCTCCCCCCGTTTGAGGCCCCAGGAAGCCAAGCCAGGCCACATCACCTGACCTGTGAGCCCCCTGCCCCCCAGTTCTCCCCCACTCCAGCCCGCGAAGTCCTCTGCCCAGATGCCAACCCGCAAGGAAGAGCTCTTTGGAGTCAGCCTTGTTTGCCATCGGGAAGGCATATGTCTGCTTCCAAGAACAAGAGGGTCACGGTGACTCAAGAGGGGACCTGATGTGCCTCAGAGCAAGGCGCTTCCTGGCCTGGAGCCCCTCTGCACCAGGAGAGCTCCAACTGTTTCTCTGTTGGCCGACGGGGCAAAGGCCTGCGTGGTGCTGTTGCCGCAGCAGCACAAAAGGGCTCCCCACGCACCTCATGTGGAAGGAAAAAAGAATTAAAATGGATTCTGGCTGTGAACAAGCCAAATGCTTCCTCTGCTCCCCTTTTCTGGGGTATCCACACATCATGGCTAGCACACAGTTACTCTAAATTTCTGGACTCCTGATACTACTGAACTAGAGCTCTAGTGCAGCTGATTTATCATCTCCCCAACAACAGGAGAAAAAAGATGGAATAAGCAGTGGGGAAATATGGCACATTACAATGGCAACAGCAGGACCCCTGAAAAGGAGGAAGCAGTATTATACAGTAAAAGCCTCAGCTGGATGTTCCCCCAGAAAACGCCTTCTTTGTTTCCTACTTGAAGACCCCTTTACCATTTTGTTTCTGGCTATCTCGACAGCAAGAGATTTACAGAAAATGGCTGTCTGCACAGAACGAGATTCACGCCCCAGAGACCTCCTGGGGGTCGCCCGACAAACTACGCATGAGCCGAATCGTTCCCCACCCCTCCCACCACCACAACCCCTCCCTTCAAGAGTAATCTCCAAACAACCACACTCCTCCCCCTCCCATGCCCAGAGCACCCTCTCCCTGGCTGCTCTTCCTGCTCCGCTAAGACAGAGCTAAGACAGACCGGAGGAGGGAGGCGCGTGTGCAGATCAACAAAAGAACCGAGCCACGCGAGCCACGAAAGGGTGCCCAGGAAGGTGGGAGACTATTTCGCGCTAGAACAGATCAAAGAGCCAACTGGCCTCTGCTCCTGAGGCTGCAGTTAAGGGAAAGCACTTTGTTAGGCACGATGTGGAAGCAGGATTACAGCTTTGCTTCCAGCTCTGTGAGCAATGGCTTGCCAGTTCAACGCGTGTCCAGCTGGGAAGCCTCACCTTGCAACAGCCACTTTCTGGAGAGAGCCAGGGTAGACTCGGTGCTGGTGGCACATTTTCGCAAAGGCCCCTGCCCAAAAGCACATGCGCATGGACACATACACACATGACTTCTGATACATTCAGCAGCTATGGGGTGAGTTACAGACACACTCTGTGGGTTTCACCTCTTGGGAATCCACTTCAAAGCACTTCCAAGGGGAGAGCTTGAAGGCAGGGCAGCCTCTGGTGCCCAGAGCTGCATCGAGTTCTTTGGGAGATGGCAAGGATCGACCCAAAAGCCATTTGGTGCACAAGTGGCAGGACTGCGTGGCGCTTCAGGAACCCGAGGCTGTCCACGTCAAGGGTAAAGAAGGGTCCTAAAGTCAGGTGGGAGGCAGAAGACGCAGACTGGCTCCCCGCGACGGTGCCGGCTGGGGCTTCCACGCCAGGCCTTCAAACCCCCGTATCTGGCAGGATGTTCCTGTCCCTCAAGCAAAGCTCTAGGGGGCTCCCGCCCTCCGTCCTCACACGCACCCCCACAGACACACATCAGTGTGGACGCCCCTACCTTTGGCCATTTGGGGTTCAGAAGCTGGGCCTTCACGGCATCTTCCAGAGCTCTGTCATACTGCTGGGTTTTCATGTATGCTGCGGAGCGGTTGCTGTAGAGGATGCAGTTCTGGGGATCAACCCCCAAGGCTTCGCCATAGAGCAGGATGGCTCTGTGGAAGTCACCCGCGTGACAAGCCTGGTTGCTCTGTCGCACCTTCTCCACAAACTCAGCCTTACTCAGGATGGGCCCGCTGGACCCCTTATCTCCAAGGCCTTTGGACCCAAGCAGAGAAATCTGGCAGGGGAAAAGGGGGCATTCGCTTAGGCGCTGTGCTATCTGCATGCAGTGGGAGGTCTTCCCACTGGGAAGCCACGAGGTGCGCTGCGCTCAGCTCACCAGGAAGACAGAGCAGCCCGTTGCCAGGTGTGAAGGATGCAAAGCAAGCAGGCCCTCTCCCTGCCCGGCTCTCATCCTGGAGCCCCAGCAAGAAAGGCCCCTTTCCCTTAGGACCAACTCCTTCAAACGAGGCATCCAGGGGCATTCACTGCACACCCTCAAACCAAAGCCCTGCAGGGAACCACTGCCTCAAGGAACAAATAAACAAGCTTATTTCTTGCTGCCCTGATATTGACATATTCCTCAGCCAGTTTCCAGTCCCAACCTGTCTCTTGCGCAAGCAGAAAAAGCAGCTGCCAGAAATGCTCGTCCCAAAGTCTCGTACATCAATAAACGCTAAAGAAACTGAGAGGCATGCAGACTTCTGATACTCTCGTGCACAACTAGAGTAAAGGCAAAACTACAACTTCATTTAATGCTGACTTTGATTCTCCTGAATCAGTTGGCCCAAATTTTACGTGGGTCTTGGACAGAAGCCTCCAATCTGCCCAAGGCTCATGGTCAGTGGCTGCAGAATCTGGCCTGATCCCTACAGACCCTCCTCAAGGGCCTTAACGACCAGCAAGTTCTGCTCTCCCCTCCTCCCCAATCAGTCTGTCTCCCTGAGCAGGAGGGCCATGGCTGAAGAAAGAAGTCCATGAGGGCAGAAGCAGAAGGAAGCTTACCACCACTGCCGAGCTCTCTGCAAGCCAACAGCTGCAGGGCAAATGGGGGAGGCCAAGACTCCTGAATCCCTCCAAGGAAGTCCCCTGTGTGGCCTAGTCAGGCAACAAGGAGACTGCCAACAGCATGCTGCAAAACCAGAGCCTAATTTGCCCTCTGCTGAGGACCTTCAAGCGGGCTGGACAAAGGAGCAGAACACCCTGCGAGTCAGAAAGGGACTCATCTCAGAATCGGTCAGCACCAGAGGAGGCTCCCTGCTGCTAAAGCCCAAGGCTGGCCTGGATCCCAGTTTGAACACCGGGGCTTCCAGTTTCCACATCCACTCAGGCCAGACATTCCCCCCAATCTGAAGCAAGCAGAACTGGCTTCAGCAGGAAGAGGAAGTTATTGAAAAGATAAGAAGCCACTTTTCTGCTTCCTTATTACAAGCTCCAGTGCACCTACAGTTTCCAAGTTAAAAAAGCACCTGCGAGCCCAGGTCCACAACTTATTCCATCTCTGTGGGAAGACCTCCCAGCCCGGGGAAACAGCTGATCTCCAGGCAGCTACATTGCCTGCAGCCACCTGTATGCAAAGTGGAAGCTTTGGATCCAGAGGCATTCCCCGGATGAAGAGCAAGCAAGCCATAATTCGACTTAATCCTCCCTCCCTCTCTCCATGTAGGACGTTGGACACAAGGGGCAGTAACTAACGTCCTAGATCCAGAACTAGTAAAAGAATTAAGAGGAGAATGTGTGTTCCCTTGGCTGGAGCATGGGGCACGACCAATGAAAAACTGAAGTTAGCAGTATTTGGGAGAGCTCCCGTAACATGCCAGGCTCTCTTCCACGATTTTGCTTCAGGTGAATCAAAGTCAAAGACCCAGGAAGCTTGGGTCAGCAGCATGCTGGAGAACAGGGAGTTAATTCCTTCTTTTCCCGTTCTTGAATTTTCAATCCCTCCAGATCGCGCAGACAACAGTGGGAGCCCAATCTGCTTCCTGTCTTTGAAAGCCCCTCGAGAGCAGCTCTCCAGACCAGAGTCGCCCCGGCGGGGACACGACAGCCGGATTCCACGCAGGGCTTAACGGACTATTCGGAAGGCGCTCTTCGGCTCTGCGAGATCTATCGCCGGGAGCGCCGGAGCCCCCTTGCCTCTGCCCTTCCACCGCACCGTGGGGGGAGGCGGCGTTTGCTCGGCGAGTCCCGCGTCGGCCGGGGTCACCTCCGAACAGGAAAGGACACCGTCCCTCCGGTCGCAGTCCTTCTGCTCACCGGAGGAGGAACGGGGGGCCGGACCCGCCACAGGGGCCTCTGGCGAGACCCGCCAGCCGGCCCCGCCGCGAAGGGGGTCTCCGAGAGGGGAAGGGCGACGGGGGCTGCCGCCCGACGTCCGGCAACGGCAAGGGACGCGCTGCCCAAGAGGCCGCCGAGCGCTGCTCGGAGAGCCGCCCGGGCGCGGAGGGC